CCCGGCCCAGAGAGGGGCCTTCCCTTTGGCACCGGGGCTGTTTGCCCAGCAGTCCACATCCTGCTCGAGCCACCTTCCCACGAGTTCACAGAGTCCTCGGGGGCGAAGATGGGGCCCCGCGGGCCGCGCGCCAGGAGGAAGTTGGAAGCGGGTCCCTCAGGTCCGCGCGGCGGCAGGTGGGGAGCAGCCGGATGATCTGAGCGGCATCGATCGCACACGCCCTTGTCGTCCCACAGCTCAGCCGGGACCGTTACGCTTCCTCCCTGTTGATTTATGGCATCAATAGGAAGGTCATGCCCTGGACACGCCTCCTGGTGGCTGGAACCCATAAATATCAAGGCGTCTGTGTTCCCAGCAGAGCCGTCACCATGGGGCTCCCCAGGGTCACCCTGGCAATGTGTCTGCTGCTGGGCCACGTCCTCCACGCAGGTACTGTCTCCTCTGCGTCTGCTCAGCTCACGGGCAAACCCCACTCGCGCGGATTCGGGAAGGAAGCGCTTTTCTGGTTGTTTCCGCCTGAGAAAGGCCAGGGTCGTGGTTAGACGAGGCCGGGGGCCGCTGGTCTCAGAAAGGCTCCTGCAGCGAGGAAGGGGCGCCAGGCCTCCACGTGGCCGTGGGGTGAGCCCCGACAATGGGCGGGAAGCCGCCCCTGCATGGCCCTCAGCGGCGCTCGGCTGGCGGCTCTGGCTCGGTCACTCCTGTCACCCAGGGCGCCGACCAGGCAGCGGGGATGTGTGTGCACCGCATGGGGCCACCAGCAGGCCAGCTGGGGACACCCTCCTTTCCTTCTTTTTTAAATAGAATAATTTTATTGATTTCAGAGAGAAAGGGAGGGAGGGAGAGAGAGAAACATCAATGATGACAGAGAATCACGGATCGGCTGTCTCCTGCACTCCCCTCTCTGGGGATCGAGCCCACAACCCGGGCCTGTACCCTGACCGGGAATCGAACCGTGACCTCCTGGTTCCTAGGTGGATGCTCAACCCCTGAGCCACGCCAGCCAGACAGGATACGTGCACGTTTTAAATATTTCCTTTTAACTTAAAACATACAAACATGCTTGGACTCACCGCTGCGCGGCTGGGGCTCCTGCCTCACGGGTCCCCCCTGCTGGCTGCCCAGCGGCCTCTGAGCTCCTTGGACACGGACCCTCCCTTCTCACACCTCCAGGTGGTGCCTGGGCAGCAGAGGTCAGACCCCCACGCCCAGTGAGTTAATCACAGGACGGGCCCAGCCAGCCGCCAGGTGCAGCCCCTCGCTGCTCCGCTTAGCGGGGGCCCCGACGGAAGGCCTGCTTTTAGGGGTTCTCACTCGGCCTTTTTTCTTTGTATTTTCAGTTACACAAGTAACAGAAGACGTGACCTCGTCTAGGGAGACGTCTGTGCCAACCGGTAACCCTAAACCCCGGGGCGGGGCCGCAGTGGGGACCGGGGCCCCCCCAGGATGCGGGGTTGGGACGGCTGCGGGGTTCTGCTGGTTTCAGATGTAGGACGGGAAGGACGGCCCTGCTGGGTCCCAGTCCCTTCCTCTAACGCGTCTCCATGCTAGTCTCTGCCCTGCCACCCTTCTCCCTAAGACCTCTGCCCCCTCACCCTGGGCTGCCCACGGGCATCCAGTCAGCGGGAAGGGGCAGCGGGGCAGAGCATGACCCCGGCTCCCTGGGTGTGATCACACCTTTTCTCTGCCTTCCTAGGTTTCTTCACGCGTCTCCTGGGAACGGAGGACACCTCTGCTTCGACTGGTAACGTCTCTCTAGTTCCTCCTCCGGTTATTGTCCCCAGGTACCCGCCTGTGCAGGACAGGCCGTAATTTGGACCAAATCGTTCAAAGGTCATGGAAATATATACCAGGGGGCAGAATAGGGGTGCGGTTCAGAGTGGCCGCCAGCGTCCGAGTCCCGCCCGGGCCCTCACTCGCCAGCTGGTCTCGGGTCCCCTTCCCGGGCCTCCGTTTCCCCAGGGGCTGTTTTGAGGATGAACTGAGTAAATGCCCATAAAGCTCTCTCACTCGATCTGAGGTTTCGGGTTAGGAAACGCTCAGAATCGCCTCCATGATTACACCTTAAAAATCAGTGTCCTTGACGTCTGCCTCTCTCCCTCTCCCTTCCTCTCTGAAATCAATACAAATATATTTAAAAAAAAAATCAGTGCCCTGGCCCGGCCGGCATGGCTCAGGGGTTGAGCGTCAACCTAGGAACCAGGAGGTCAGGGTTCAATTCCCGGCCAGGGCACAGGCCGGGTTGCAGGCTCGATCCCCACTGGGGGGCGTGCAGGAGGCAGCCAATGGATGATGTTTCTCTCTCATCATTGATGTCTCTCTCTCTCTTCGTCTCCTTTCCTCTCTCTGAAATCAATTTTTAAAAATAGTTTAACATTTTTTTACACATTCACTCATGTAGCGGCCCCCTGAGTGGCGGTCCCCCAGCGGACTCTGCTCACATTCCACACTGCAGGGCGGACTCGCTGCCGCAGGGAACCCTGGCCCCAGTGCGACCGCCCGCTTGCCCAGCCCCGGCTCTGAGCACAGAGCGCACCCCAGGACGTGAGGGCGCCTGGCGGGGAGACCCACTTACCCCACCTCAACGAAGGGAACATCCCACACCCAAACCCTTTGTTTTCATCTAGAACAGCGGTTCTCAACCTGTGGGTCGCGACCCCTTTGGGGGTCGAACGACCCTTTCACAGGGGTCGCCTAAGACCATATTGTTTTTGTGATTAATCACTATGCTTTAATTATGTTCAATTTGTAACAGTGAAATTGGGGGTCAGCCCAACATGAGGAACTGTATTAAGGGGTCGCGGCATGAGGAAGGTTGAGAAGCACTGATCTAGAATCACAAAACCCTGAGCAAGGATGCTGGAGGCCACCAGACCCACGGTGGAACCTCTGCGCCCCCTGGCGGATTGTGAGGGGAAGCGCAGCCACTGCCTGGGGCTGTGGATCCTTTGCAAATAGGGGACCCTCCCTGCTGAGATGCCTTTGTCTCTCTCCAGGACGGTGGGCCACGCAGACCGAAGGCTATGACTACGGTGAGGCCTTTTCTGTGGCTTTTACTTGTGTTCCCAGCGGTGGCCCCTGGCTGGGCCGGCCAGTTCTGTGCTGCAGCCGTTGGTGGTGGAAGCTGAGTGGCCACTGAAACCTTGCGTGGAGCCCCCGGGCTGGGGAGGCGGGTGTGGGGTCCTCTTTCGGGGCAGCTCCCAGAGCCCATGGGCAGGTCCTTGGGGGGCTGAGAGCGGGCTGAGACGGAGAAGCTGCTGGGACAGCAGGGGAGGCAGGTCCCCAGAGAGGAGAGGAGGCAGTGAGCGAGGCGGGCGGTGCAGAGAGGGGAGGGGAAGAGGGGGCGGGAGGCCAGTCCCATCAAAGACCATGGCTTTCTTTTCTTTTAAGAAATGTTTTCATTTCTTTTTTAAAATATATTTTTATTGATGTCAGAGAGGAAGGGAAAAGGAGAGAGAGAGAAGCATCAATGATGAGAGAGAATCATGGATTGGGCGCCTCCTGCCCGCCCCCCACTGGGGATCGAGCCCACAATCCGGGCCTGTGCCCCGACCAGGAATCGAACCCTGACCTCCTGGTTCATAGGTCGACGCTCAACCACTGAGCCACACTGGCCGGGCAGGGACGATGGCTTTCCCCTGTCCATGCAGGCTTGCCGCTGAGGCTGGTGGACGGCGCGGACCGGTGCCAGGGCCGGGTGGAGGTCCTGTACCAGGGCGTCTGGGGCACCGTGTGCGACGACAGCTGGGACGCCCGGGACGCGGACGTGGTGTGCAGGCAGCTGGGCTGCGGCTACTCGGTGTCGGCGCCCGGCGGGGCCCACTTCGGCCAAGGCTCGGGGAACATCCTGCTGGGCACCGTGGACTGCGCGGGCTGGGAGCCCTCCCTGTCCAGCTGCCCCCATGGCGGCTGGTACAACCACGCGTGCGGACACAGGGAAGACGCTGGCGTCGTGTGCTCAGGTAGGGCCCCCTTCGCCTGGCCAGGCACCCCGACCGAGCTGTGGACAGCGCCCCCTGCTGGCCCTAACGCCGGGCCCACGCACGCAGTGCTGTGCAGCTCACCCGCCACTCCCAGTCACACCTCCTTCCATGTTCAAGGGCAGGAATCGCTGTCCCTTTTCTTTTCTCATTTAAAAAAATATATTTTTATTGATTTCAGAGAGGAAGGGAGAGAGAGAGAGAAACATCAGTGATGAGAGAGAATCATGGATGGGCTGCCTCCTGCACGCCCCCTACTGGGGATCGAGCCTGCAACCCGGGCCTGTGCCCTGACCAGGAATCTAACCCGGGACCCTTCAGTCCACAGGCCAGTGCTCTATCCACTGAGCCACACCGGCTAGTGCAGAGGGTGCATGTTCAGAAACGGCCCCTCCTTCTGGGGGTGCGGCCTCCCTCTCAGGAATATCTCCAGGGGGTGGGGGTAGACTCCTGCCGTCCGAGGGTGTCTGAGCCGCAGGGCTGGGCACTTGGTACTCGAGTCCCGTGTTGTGAATGAGGGCGGGAGTCGGCGGGTTCTGTGGTGGATTCTGTGGAAGGAAGCGCAGGAGGGGAGGGTGGTGATGGGACAAGGGCCCCTGTGGCATCCGGGCATCGATCGAGGGGCAGAGGGTGAGTTCTGCCTCACAAGGAAGGGGCGTAGCCTCGCTGCCTGGTCTCCCGCCCGCACCTGCCTCAGAGCCCGGGCGGAGGGCCACCCTCCAGGAGGCCCCAGCAGTGACCTGTTCCCTCTGCTCTGCAGCTTCTATGCTTTCCACGGAGGAGACCCTGACAGCAACCACGGAAGGTAATGCTTGTCACGTGGGATCCCTGTGGGCCCCACCACCACCGCACCCTGACAGGGGAGAGGTGCAGGATGAGAGATGGGGTGCTCAGCGCCCAGGGCCTCTGAGCAAGGCCTCGGGCTGCAGGGTGTCCTGGCCACGGGCTGTGCCTCACCCCGGAGCTCCAAGGTGGGGCTCGGTGACCCACCCTCAGCGGGTCCTGCCGCCCAGGCCCAGGGCCCCCCCCTCCCGTGGCCCCCCCAAGCCACGCTGGCCCCTGGCCAGGCTCAGGCTCTGGGATTCGGGCTGCGGGGCCCAGCGAGGCAGGTGCACACCTCTGAGCAGCATCCTGGCCTGTGCCCTCCCTGAGCCCACATCAGGGCACCTCAGAGCCATCTCAGCACAAAAGGACCTTGGTCCTCCGGCCCGTGGGGCAGAGTCCGTGCCCCCCTGGGATTCCCCCTCCAGCGACAGAGCTGGGGTGCAGGCCACACAGGCCGGGTGCCGGCAGCCTGGGCTTCGGGAAGGAAAGTCACCGCCCTTTCTCCCTGGGAAACGCTGGCCCTGAGACAGGAGAAGGACGGCCTCCAGGCCAAGGCCCCGGCCAGGACCCAGCAGGGACCAGGGACCCGGGCATTTCTCTTTCTCGGGTCCCGGGTTCCCGTCCCCGAGGCCCACGGCGTCAGGCCCGGCTGGACCTGCTCTGTCCAGTCCCGCTGGTTAGGGACAGAGATGTCGCTGGAGCCGAGGCGGAGCCTGGCTTCATCCTCTGTGAACGAGTCCCCTCCCCGGACTCTCAGGGGCAGCAGCGGGAGGAGGAGGACCCCTTGCAGAGTGGGAGGGAGCAGGGGGAGCTGGGAGATGGCAGGTGGCCAATGAATGGAAGGAACCAATAGGGGCCTTGGGGATGGGGTATGAGGACCCCATGGAAAACTCTAAAAATTGGTGTCAACTCTCAATATCAGAATGCGTCCAGGCTGAAACATCAGTGTGCACATTGATTGACCCCATTTGTTGGGGTCACTCCCTGTTCACTTTCTGGGGTCAACACCAGGGCCCCGGTGGCCTGTCCCAGGCATGACACTGGCTTCCATACACTGGCCAGGAAGTCCTCGGGTTCCAGGAAGCAGGCCATGGCAAAGGGACAAAGGGGATGGCTCTGAAAGGACTGCACGGTGCGGGGCAGCACTGCTGTGTCCCCCCCGAGGCCATGTGCACGGCATCAGCTCCGTGTGTAGAAGCTGAGGGTCTTCAATCCGGGACCTGGGCCCGGCACCTGGGAGCTTGGTGTCTGACTGTCCCTTTCTTCCCACAGCTACTCAGGCCTACACAATCTGGCCAGGTGAGTCCCAGCCACCACTCCTGGGATGTCCCTCTCTCCTGCCCCCTCTGCCCGTCAGCCCTCTCCAGCTGACCCATGGCTCTTTGAACCCCAAGAGGATTACACTTTTGCCCTCTGTCTCTTTATTTACTAGGGGAAGGGGGATGCCAAAGGCTCTGTCTGTCCATCCTCCTTGTGAGTTCTCATCAGATACTTGGCGGCCATCTCGGGGGAGAGCGGCCGATGGTCAGCGAAGTGCCTCCCCTTCCATGAAGGTGGCCCCGTGACTCCAGGCTGAGGGAGGGCTTTGTGGGATAGTGGACACTGAGTCACACTGGCTTTCTGATGACGGGACAGCAGTTTTCTGGCTTCTCTCCTCCTCTCACACCTGCCCCACCCTGAGGGCTAGCATTGTCACTGCATCCCAATGGGGCAGAGACAGTGCCAGGGGATGGCAGTGAACATGTGATGAGCGTGCTCTGGCTAACAGGAGCTCTGCTTGCCTCCTGGTTCAATCACCGGGCCCTGACTCTTTCTATCCAAGCTTCAGAGTCAGGCCAACACCTCAAGCCACCAGTGAGTGCCTGGCTCAAGGGGAAGAGATGGGAAAGGTCTTCTGATTGGGAGGTACTTGGCGGTCAGAGACATGGAGGGATGTGGCTGGTCTCTCCCAGGCCTTTGACCCCGACGAGTGGGAGGCTTGTGAACAGGCAGGGAGCACGTGCAGGAGGCACATTGGAAAGTCAGGCTGACCAACCCACCCTTTTGGGAAGGACTCCTTTCCTGAGGTCTCACCACAACCTTTCTCTTTGTTGTCCCTTCCAGACGCATGGACAACTCCATCCACAACTGCTCCTCAAACAACAACAGGTACGGGACCCTTCACCCTCCCAGGGCCCTTCTCTGCCTCTGAATCACACCCGGGATGGAACTTGACAGGAAGAGGCTCCACACGGGCCATACTCATCCTTGCCCTGTAAGGGGGTGGAGCGGAGGAGGGCCTCTGACCAGGTCCTTGTCTGACATGGGTGGCTGATTACTTGTCTCCAGTGGCTTCTGGGAGGAGGCTCAGCCAGGACCCTCCCCTTTGCTCAGTAGCAGCCCTAGAGGCCACCTGGCACCTGCTGAGAGCCTGTGCTGGCTCAGCCTCAGGGGCTGTGAGTCTCTGTCCTCTCATGTCTGACAGAGGTCCCCTCCCCTCCAAGGGCTTTGCCTCAAGTCAGCCAGGACCATGTAGAAGAAATGAGTGGCCAAGGAGGCCATGGCCTTGGCCTGTCCCTGGAGCCATGGACCTCCACCCTGGGTGGCCCTGGTGGATACGGGGGGCAGTCCTCACCTCATGGGCAATCCTGGGACTCCCTACCTAGGACACCCTTAGACCTGGCAGGACAGGACGTCCCGATCCTTTCCCTGTGATGGAGATGAACCCCTGGGCGTGTCCAAAGCTGACCGCCTGCCCTTGGGCGTGGCCATGAGGAAGGCCCTGAATCTAGAACCTGCCTCGGGCCTGGAGGTCAGCACAGACATGGAGGACGTGTCCTTGTGCCGTCCTCTAGATTTCGGGACCGATTCGGGTTTGGCCCTGAGGCTGGTGAATGGAGGTGACCGGTGTCAGGGCCGCGTGGAGGTCTTCTACCGAGGCTCCTGGGGCACCGTGTGTGACGACGGGTGGGACACCAACGACGCCAACGTGGTGTGCAGGCAGCTGGGCTGTGGCTGGGCCAGGTCGGCCCCAGGAAGTGCCCAGTTCGGACAGGGCTCAGGCCCGATCGTGCTGGATGACGTGGGCTGCTCAGGGTACGAGTCCTACCTGTGGAACTGCCCACATAATGGTTGGAACTCCCACAACTGTGGGCACGGAGAGGACGCCGGCGTCATCTGCTCAGGTGCGTCGCTACCATCCCTGGTGGCCCTTCTGGGCTGATGCTGCTGAGAACAACCCACTCCCCACGCCAGTGCCCCTCTGAGCCTCATACTGTTCCCCAGGCACTGGACTGACTCAGAGCCACAGGCTCCCAGGTGCTAGGTCTCCTGCTCAGGCTAAACGTCAGCTTGGAGGGTCCACGCGCCCAGCATCCTGAAGTCAGTGCCAGGAACTGGCTCGTAGGGGTCTGAGCTTCGTGTTCATGCACAAGGAGCAGCGTCCTGAGCACAGAGAGGAGCCTGCCCTGTGCCCCCGGAGCCAGCTCACTGCCACCTGCAGGGTGTCTGGAGCTTCCAAAAGGGCAGCTGGCCCCTGGGTGTGGGGGTTGGTGAGCTCCTCTCCTCTGTGAGGACGGTGTCACCTGGGGGCTCCCAGATAGTGACGCAGAGGGGACACCCTTAGAGCACAGAGGTCCTTTGTGAAGGACAGAGAGAGTGGGAGGGAGCAGGGGGAGGTGGGAGTTGGCAGGTGGCCAATGAATGGAAGGAGCCAATGGGGGCCTTTGGGATGGGGTATTATGACCCCATGAAAAACTCTAGAAATGGGTGTAAACTCTCTTTAGCAGGATGGGTCTAGGCTGAGAAATCAGTGTGCACATTGATTGACCCCATTTGGTGGGGTCATTACCCGTTCAAGCTCTGGGGTCAACACCAGGACCCTGATGGCCTGTCCCAGGCATGACACTGGCTTCCATACACTCGACAGGAGTCCTCAGGTACCGGAGGCAGACCATGGCAAAGGGGCAGAGGGCGTGGCTTGGGAAGGACTGCGAGGTTCAGGGCAGCACTGCTGTGTCCCCCCCGAGGCCATGTGCACTGCGTCAGCTCCGTGTGTAGAAGCTGAGGGTCACCAACCCGGGTTCTGGGCCGGGCACCTGGGAGCTTGGTCTAACTGTCACTTTCTTCCCACAGATGCTCAGGCCTCCACATCCTGGCCAGGTGAGTCCCAGCCACCTCTCCTGGGATGTCCCTCTCTCTGCCCACCTCTGCTGGTCAGCCCTCTCCAGCTGACCAATGGCTCTTTGAACCCCTTCTGGACCACACTTTTGCCCTCTGTCTCCTGAACTATGGGGGAGGGGAGACTCCAAAGGCTCTGTCTGTCCATCCTCCTTGTGAGTTCTCATCAGATACTTGGCGGCCATGAGGGGGGAGAGCGGCTGATGGTCAGAGAAGTGCCTCCCCTTCCATCAAGGTGGCCCCGTGGCTCCAGGCTGAGGAGGGCTTTGTGGGATAGTGGACACCGATGCCGATTGGCTTTCTGATGACGGGACAGCAGGCTTCTGGGTTCTCTCCTCCTCTCACACCTGCCGCACCCTGAGGGCCAGCATGGTCATACCCGCATCCCAAGGGAACAGAGACAGTGCCCGGGGATGGCAGTGAACAGGTGATGAGGGTCCTCTGGGTACCAGGACCTGTGATTGCCTCCTGGTTCCATAACCGGGCCCTGACTCTTTCTATCCAACCTTCAGAGTCAGGCCAACACCTCAAGCCACCAGTGAGTGCCTGGCTCATGAGGGAGAGATGGGAAAGGTCTTCTGATGGGGAGGAACATGGCGGTCAGAGACGTGGAGGGATGCGGCTGGTCTCTCCCAGGCCTTCGACCCCGATGACCCAGCGAGCGGGAGGCTGTGGACAGGCAGGGAGCACGTGCAGGAGGCACATGGGAAAGTCACGCTGACTGACACACCCTATGGGAAGGACTCCTTTCCTGAGGCCTCACCACAACCTTTCTCTTTGTTGTCCCTTCCAGACGCATGGACAACTCCATCCACAACTGCCTCTACTCTAATAACAACAGGTACGGGACCCTTCACCCTTCCAGGGACCCTCTCTGCCTCTGAATCACACCCGGGATGGAACTTGACTGGAAGAGGCTCCACGTGGGCCATCCTAATCCTTGCCCTATAAGGGGGTGGGGCCAGAGGAGGGTCTCTGACCAGGTCCTTGTCTGACATGGGTGGCTGATGACTTGTCTCCAGAGTGCTTCTGGGAAGAGGCTCAGCCGGGACCCTCCCCTTTGCTCAGTAGCAGCCCTAGAGGCCTCCTGGCACCTGCTGAGACCCCTGTGCTGGCTCAGCCTCAGGGGGTGTGGGTCTCTGTCCTCTCAAGTCTGACAGATGTCCCCTCCCCTCTGAGGGCTTTGCTTCAAGTCAGGCAGGACCATGGAGAAGAAATAAGTTGCCAAGGAGGCCATGGTCTTGGCCTGTCCCCGGAGCCATGGACCTCCACCCTGGGTGTCCCTGGTGGATGCGGGGGGCCATCCTGCTCACTTCATGGGCAATCCTGGGGCTCCCTACCTAGGAGCACACTTAGACCTGGCAGGACAGAATGTCCCTGATCCTTTCCCCGTGATGAAGATTAAACCCTGTGGTGTCCAAAGCTGACCGCCTGCCCTGGGCGTGGCCATGAGGGAGGCCCTGAATCTAGAACCTGCCTCGGGCCTGGCGGTCAGCACAGACATGGAGGACGTGTCCTTGTGCCGTCCTCTAGATTTCGGGACCGATTCGGCTCTGGCCCTGAGGCTGGTGAATGGAGGTGACCGGTGTCAGGGCCGCGTGGAGGTCCTCTACCGAGGCTCCTGGGGCACCGTGTGTGACGACGGGTGGGACACCAACGACGCCAACGTGGTGTGCAGGCAGCTGGGCTGTGGCTGGGCCACGTCGGCCCCAGGAAGTGCCCGGTTCGGACAGGGCTCAGGCCCGATCGTGCTGGATGACGTGGGCTGCTCAGGGTACGAGTCCTACCTGTGGAGCTGCCCACATAATGGTTGGAACTCCCACAACTGTGGGCACGGAGAGGACGCCGGCGTCATCTGTTCAGGTGCGTCGCTACCATCCCTGGTGGCCTTTCTGGGCTGATGCTGCTGAGAATACACCCCCTCCCCAAGCCAGGGCCCCTCTGAGCCTCATACTGTCGTCCCTCAGGCATTTGAGTGACTCAGGGCCACAGGCTCCCAGGTGCTAGGTCTCCTGCTCAGACTACAGGTCAACTTGGTGGGTCCATGTGCCCAGTATCCCTAAGGCAGTGACAGGAACTGGCTCGTAGGGGGCAGCGTCCTGAGCACAGAGAGGAGCCTGGCCTTGTGCCCCCAGGGCCAGCTCACTGCCACCTGCAGGGTGTCTTGAGCTTCCAAAAGGGCAGCTGGCCCCTGGGTGTGGGGGTTGGTGAGCTCCTACCCTCTGTGAGGACGGTGTCACCTGGGGGCTCCAAGATAGTGACGCAGAGGGGACACCCTGAGAGCACAGAGGTCCTTTGTGAAGGACAGAGAGAGTGGGAGGGAGCAGGAGGAGGAGGGAGATGGCACTTGGCCAATGAATGGAAGGAGCCAATGGGAGCCTTGGGGATGGCGCATTATGACCCCATGGAAAACTCTAGAAATGGGTGTAAACTCCCTTTAGCAGAATGGGTCTAGGCTGAGAAATCAGTGTGCACATTGATTGACCCCATTTGGTGGGGTCATTACCCGTTCAAGCTCTGGGGTCAACACCAGGACCCTGATGGCCTGTCCCAGGCATGACACTGGCTTCCATACTCTGGACAGGAAGTCCTCAGGCTCAGGGAGGCTGGCGATGGCAGGGGACAGAGGGCGTGGCTCTGGAAGGACTGGGAGGTTCAGGGCAGCACTGCTGTGTCCCCCCTGAGGCCATGTGCACGGCATCAGCTCCGTGTGTAGAAGCTGAGGGTCACCAACCCGGGTTCTGGGCCGGGCACATAGGAGCTTGCTGTCTGACTGTCCCTTTCTTCCCACAGCTGCTCAGCCCTCCACATCCTGGCCAGGTGAGTCCCAGCCACCTGTCCTGTGATATCCCTCTCTCCTGCCCCCTCTGCCTGTCAGCCCTCTTCAGCTGACCCATGGCTCTTTGAACCCCGTGAGGATCACACTTTTGCCCTCCGTCTCTTTATCTATTAGGGGAAGGGGGATGCCAAAGGCTCTGTCTGTCCATCCTTCTTCTGAGTTCTCATCAGATACTTGGTGGCCATCCCGGGGGAGAGCGGTCGATGGTCAGAGAAGTGCCTCCCCTTCCATGAAGGTGGCCCCGTGACTCCAGGCCGAGGAGGGTTTTGTGGGATAGTGGACACTGATGCCCACTGGCTTTCTGATGACGGGACAGCAGTTTTCTGGCTTCTCTCCTCCTCTCACACCTGCCCCACCCTGAGGGCTAGCATTGTAACTGCATCCCAATGGGGCAGAGACAGTGCCAGGGGATGGCAGTGAACATGTGATGAGCGTCCTCTGGCTAACAGGAGCTCTGCCTGCCTCCAGGTTCAGTCACCAGGCCCTGACTCTTTCTATCCAAGCTTCAGAGTCAGGCCAACACCTCAAGCCACCAGTGAGTGCCTGGCTCATGGGGAAGAGATGAGAAAGGTCTTCTGATTGGGAGGTACATGGCGGTCAGAGACATGGAGGGATGTGGCTGGTCTCTCCCAGGCCTTTGACCCCGATGACCCAGCGACTTGTGAACAGGCAGGGAGCACGTGCAGGAGGCACATTGGAAAGTCACGCTGACCAACCCACCCTTTTGGGAAGGACTCCTTTCCTGAGGTCTCACCACAACCTTTCTCTTTGTTGTCCCTTCCAGACGCATGGACACCTCCATCCACAACTGCTCCTCAAACAACAGCAGGTACGGGACCCTTCACCCTCCCAGGGACCCTCTCTGCCTCTGAATCACACCCGGGATGGAACTTGACAGGAAGAGGCTCCACACGGGCCATACTCATCCTTGCCCTGTAAGGGGGTGGAGCAGAGGAGGGTCTCTGACCAGGTCCTTGTCTGACATGGGTGGCTGATGACTTGTCTCCAGTGGCTTCTGGGAGGAGGTTCAGCCAGGACCCTCCCCTTTGCTCAGTAGCAGCCCTAGAGGCACCTGGCACCTGCTGAGAGCCTGTGCTGGCTCAGCCTCAGGGGCTGTGAGTCTCTGTCCTCTCATGTCTGACAGAGGTCCCCTCCCCTCCAAGGGCTTTGCCTCAAGTCAGCCAGGACCATGTAGAAGAAATGAGTGGCCAAGGAGGCCATGGCCTTGGCCTGTCCCTGGAGCCATGGACCTCCACCCTGGGTGGCCCTGGTGGATACGGGGGGCAGTCCTCACCTCATGGGCAATCCTGGGACTCCCTACCTAGGACACCCTTAGACCTGGCAGGACAGGAGGTCCCGATCCTTTCCCTGTGATGGAGATGAACCCCTGGGCGTGTCCACAGATGACCGCCTGCCCTTGGGCGAGGCCATGAGGGAGGCCCTGAATCTAGAACCTGCCTCGGGCCTGGCGGTCAGCACAGACATGGAGGACGTGTCCTTGTGCCGTCCTCTAGATTTCGGGACCGATTCGGCTCTGGCCCTGAGGCTGGTGAATGGAGGTGACCGGTGTCAGGGTCGCGTGGAGGTCCTCTACCGAGGCTCCTGGGGCACCGTGTGTGACGACGGGTGGGACACCAACGACGCCAACGTGGTGTGCAGGCAGCTGGGCTGTGGCTGGGCCACGTCGGCCCCAGGAAGTGCCCGGTTCGGACAGGGCTCAGGCCCGATCGTGCTGGATGACGTGGGCTGCTCAGGGTACGAGTCCTACCTGTGGAGCTGCCCACATAATGGTTGGAACTCCCACAACTGTGGGCACGGAGAGGACGCCGGTGTCATCTGCTCAGGTGCGTCGCTACCATCCCTGGTGGCCTTTCTGGGCTGATGCTGCTGAGAATACACCCCCTCCCCACCCCAGGGCCCCTCTGAGCCTCATACTGTCGTCCCTCAGGCATTTGAGTGACTCAGGGCCACAGGCTCCCAGGTGCTATGTCTCCTGCTCAGGCTAAACGTCAACTTGGTGGGTCCATGTGCCCAGTATCCCTAAGGCAGTGACAGGAACTGGCTCGTAGGGGTCTGAGCTCTTGTTCATGCACAAGAGGCAGCGTCCTGAGCACAGAGAGGAGCCTGGCCTTGTGCCCCCAGGGCCAGCTCACTGCCACCTGCATGGTGTCTGGGGCTTCCACCAGGGCAGCTGGCCCCTGGGTGTGGGGGTTGGTGAGCTCCTACCCTCTGTGAGGACGGTGTCACCTGGGGGCTCCAAGATAGTGACCCAGAGGGGACACACTTAGAGCACAGAGGTCCTTTGTGAAGGACAGAGAGAGTGGGAGGGAGCAGGGGGAGGAGGGAGATGGCAGGTAGCCAATGAATGGAAGGAGCCAATGGGGGCCTTGGGGATGGCGCATTATGATCGCATGGAAACGTCTAGAAATGGGTGTAAACTCCCTTTAGCAGAATGGGTCTAGGCTGTGAAATCAGTGTGCACATTGATTGACCCCATTTGTTGGGGTCATTACCCGTTCACGCTCTGGGGTCAACACCAGGACCCTGATGGCCTGTCCCAGGCATGACACTGGCTTCCATACTCTGGACAGGAGTCCTCAGGCTCAGGGAGGGTGGCGATGGCAGGGGACAGAGGGCGTGGCTCTGGAAGGACTGGGAGGTTCAGGGCAGCACTGCTGTGTCCCCCCTGAGGCCATGTGCACGGCATCAGCTCTGTGTGTAGAAGCTAAGGGTCACCAACCCGGGATCTGGGCCGGGCACCAGTGATCTTGGTGTCTGACTGTCCCTTTCTTCCCACAGCTACTCAGGCCTCCACATCCTGGCCAGGTGAGTCCCAGCCACGTGTCCTGTGATGTCCCTCTCTCCTGCCCCCTCTGCCCGTCAGCCCTCTCCAGCTGACCCATGGCTCTTTGAACCCCAAGAGGATCACACTTGTGCCCTCCGTCTCTTTATCTACTAGGGGGAGGGGGATGCCAAAGGCTCTGTCTGTCCATCCTCCTTGTGAGTTCTCATCAGATACTTGGTGGCCATCCTGGGGGAGAGTGGCCGATGGTTAGAGAAGTGCCTCCCCTTCCTTGAAGGTGGCCCCGTGACTCCAGGCCGAGGAGGGCTTTGTGGGATAGTGGACACTGATGCCCACTGGCTTTCTGATGACGGGACAGCAGTTTTCTGGCTTCTCTCCTCTCACACCTGCCGCACCCTGAGGGCCAGCATAGTCATACCTGCATCCCAATGGGGCAGAGACAGTGCCTGGGAATGGCAGTGAACACGTGATGAGAGTCCTCTGGGTACCAGGACCTGTGCTTGCCTCCTGGTTCCATAAACGGGCCCTGACTCTTTCTATCCAAGCTACAGAGTCAGGCCAAAGCCTCAAGCCACCAGTGAGTGCCTGGCTCATGAGGGAGAGATGGGAAAGTTCTTCTGATGGGGAGGTACATGGCGGTCAGAGACGTGGAGGGATGCGGCTGGTCTCTCCCAGGCCTTCGACCCCGATGACCCAGCCGAGTGGGAGGCTTGTGGACAGGCAGGGAGCACGTGCAGGAGTCACATGGGAAAGTCATGCTGAGCGACCCACCCTTTTAAGAAGGTCTCCTTTCCTGAGTCCTCACCACAACCTTTCTCTTTGTTGTCCCTTCCAGACACATGGACAACACCTTTCACAACTGCCCCTACTCAAACAACAACAGGTACAGGACCCTTAAACCTCCCGGGGCCCCTCTCTGCCTCTGAATCATGTCTGGGATGGAACTTGACAGGGAGAGGCTCCCCGTTGGCCATCCTAATCCTTGCCCTGTAAGGGGGTGGGGCCAGAGGAGGGTCTCTGACCAGGTCCTTGTCTGGCATGGGTGGCTGATGACTTGTCTCCAGTGGCTTCTGGGAGGAGGCTCAGCCAGGACCCTCCCCTTTGCTCAGTAGCAGCCCTAGAGGCCACCTGGCACCTGCTGAGAGCCCTGTGCTGGCTCAGCCTCAGGGGCTGTGAGTCTCTGTCCTCTCATGTCTGACAGAGGTCCCATTCCCTCTGAGAGCTTTGCCTCAAGTGAGGCAGGACCATGGAGAAGAAATAAGTGGCCAAGGAGGCCATGATCTTGTCCTGTCCCCGGAGCCATGGACCTCCACCCTGGGTGTCCCTGGGTAGATACCAGAGGCAGTCCTGCTCACCCCCTGGGCAATCCTGGGACTCCCTACCTAGGAGCACCCTTAGACCTGGCAGGACAGGACGTCCTGATCCTTTCCCCGTGATGGAGATGAACCCCTGGGTGTGTCCATAACTGACCACCTGCCCTTGGGAGTGGCCATGAGGGAGGCCCTGAGTCTAGAACCTGCCTCAGGCCTGGAGGTCAGCACAGACATGGAGGAGGTGTCCTTGTGCCGTCCTCTAGGATTCGGGACCGATTCGGGTCTGGCCCTGAGGCTGGTGAATGGCGGAGACCGGTGTCAGGGCCGAGTAGAGGTCTTCTACCGAGGCTCCTGGGGCACCGTGTGTGACGACGGGTGGGACACCAACGACGCCAACGTGGTGTGCAGGCAGCTGGGCTGTGGCTGGGCCAGGTCGGCCCCAGGAAGTGCCCGGTTTGGACAGGGCTCAGGCCCGATCGTGCTGGATGACGTGAGCTGCTCAGGGCACGAGTCCTACCTGTGGAGCTGCCCGCACAGGGGCTGGAACTCGCACAACTGCAACCACGGAGAGGACGCCGGCGTCATCTGCTCAGGTGCGTCGCTACCATCCCTGGTGGCCCTTCTGGGCTGATGCTGCTGAGAACACGCCCACTCCCCACGCCGGGGCCTTGCTTGAGCCTCATACTGTCCCTCGGGCACTTGAGTGACTCAGGGCCACAGGCTCCCAGGTGCTAGGTCTCCTGCTCAGACTACAGGTCAGATTGGTGGGTCCATGTGCCCAGTATCCCTAAGGCAGTGCCAGGAACAGGCTCATAGGGTCCTCAGCTCCGTGTTCATGCACAAGAGGCAGCGTCCTGAGCACAGAGAGGAGCCTGGCCTTGTGCCCCCGGGGTCAGCTCCCTGCCACCTGCAGGGTGTCGGGGGCTTCCACCCGGGCAGCTGGTCCCTGGGTGTGGGGGTTGGTGAGCTCCTACCCTCTGTGAGGATGGTGTCACCTAGGGACTCCAAGATAGTGATGCAGAGGGGACACCCTTAGAGCACAGAGGTCCTTTGTGAAGGACAGAGAGAGTGGGAGGGAGCAGGGGGAGGAGGGAGATGGCAGGTGGCCAATGAATGGAAGGAGTCAATGGGGGCCTTGGGGATGGGGCATTATGACCGCATGGAAAAGTCTAGAAATGGGTGTAAACTTCCTTTAGCAGAATAGGTCTAGGCTGAGAAATCAGTGTGCATATTGATTGACCCATTTGGTGGGGTCATTACCTGTTCAGGCTCTGGGGTCAACACCAGGATCCTGATGGCGTGTCCCAGGCATGACACTGGCTTCCATACTCTGGACAGGAGTCCTCAGGCTCAGGGAGGCAGGCAATGGCAGGAGACAGAGGGCGTGGCTTTGGAAGAACTATAAGGTGCGGGGCAGCACTGCTGTGTCCCCCCCGAGGCCATGTGCACAGCGTCAGCTCTGTGTGTAGAAGCTGAGGGTCACCAACCCGGGATCTTGGCCGGGCAACTGGGAGCTTGGTGTCTGACTGTCCCTTTCTTCCCACAGCTGCTCAGGCCTCCACATCCTGGCCAGGTGAGTCCCAGCCACCTGTCCTGGGTTGTCCCTCTCCTCTGCCCCCCTCTGCCTGTCAGCCCTCTCCAGCTGACCCATGGCTCTTTGAACCCCGTGAGGATCACACTTTTGCCCTCTGTCTCCTTATCTATTGGGTTTGGGGGATTCCAAAGACTCCATCTGTCCTTCCTCCTTGTGAGTTCTCATCAGATACTTGGCGGCCATCCCAGGGGAGAGCAGCCGATGGTCAGAGATGTGCCTCCCCTTCCAGGAAGGTGGCCCTGTGGCTCCAGGCTGAGGAGGGCTTTGTGGGATAGTGAACCCTGATGCCCATTGGCTTTCTGATGACAGACAGCAGGCTTCTGGCTTCTCTCCTCTTCTCACACCTGCCACACCCTGATGGCCAGCATGGTCACACCCGCATCCCAAGGTGTCAGAGACAGTGCCCGGGGATGGCAGTGAACATGTGATGAGGGTCCTCTGGGTACCGGGACCTGTTTTTGCCTCCAGGTTCAGTCACCAGGCCCTGACTCTTTCTATCCAAGCTTCAGAGTCAGGCCAACACCTCAAGCCACCAGTGAGTGCCTGGCTCATGGGGTAGAGATGGGAAAGGTCCTCCAATGGGAGGAACATGGCGGTCAGAGACGTGGAGGGATGCGGCTGGTCTCTCCCAGGCCTCGACCCCGATGACCCAGCCGAGCAGGAGGCTGTGGACAGGCAGGGAGCACGTGAGGAAGGCACATGGAAAAGTCATGCTGACTGACCCACCCTTTTGGGAAGGATTCCTTTTCTAAGGGCTCATCACCCCCTTTCTCTTTGTTGTCTCTTCCAGGTGCATGGACAACTCCTTCCACAACTGCCTATCCTCTAAACACAACAGGTACAGGACCCTTAAACCTCCCAGGGCCCCTCTCTGCCTCTGAATCATGTCCGGAATGGAACGTGAGAGGAAGAGGCTCCACACGGGCCATCCTCATCCTTGTCCTGTAAGGGGGTGGAGCAGAGGAGGGTCTCTGACCAGGTCCTTGTCTGACATGGGTGGCTGATGACTTGTCTCCAGTGGGGTTCTGGGAGGAGGCTCAGCCAGGACCCTCCCCTTTGCTCAGTAGCAGCCCTAGAGGCCACCTGGCACCTGCTGAGAGCCCTGTGTTGGCTCAACCTCAGGAGGTGGGAGTCTCTTTCCTCTCATGTCTGACAGAGGTCCCATTCCCACCGAGGGCTTTGCCTCAAGTGAGGCAGGACTATGGACAAGAAATTAATGGCCAAGGAGACCATGATCTTGGCCTGTCCCCCGAGCCATGGACCTTCACCATGGGTGGATCTGGTGGATACGGGGGGCAGTCCTCACCACATGGGCAATCCTGGGGCTCCCTTCCTTGGAGCACCCTTAGGCCTGGCAGGACAGGACGTCCCAATCCTTTCACTGTGATGGAGATGAACCCCTGTGCATTTCCAAATATGACCGCCTGCCCTTGGGAGTGGCTATGAGGGAGGCCCTGAGTCTAGAACCTGCCTCAGGCCTGGAGGTCAGCACAGACATGGAGGAGGTGTCCTTGTGCCGTCCTCTAGGGTTCGGGACCGAATCGGCTCTGGCCCTGAGGCTGGTGAACGGCGGTGACCGGTGTCAGGGCCGCGTAGAGGTCTTCTACCGAGGCTCCTGGGGCACCGTGTGTGACGACGGGTGGGACACCAACGACGCCAACGTGGTGTGCAGGCAGCTGGGCTGTGGCTGGGCCAGGTCGGCCCCAGGAAATGCCCGGTTCGGACAGGGCTCAGGCCCGATCGTGCTGGATGACGTGAGCTGCTCAGGGCACGAGTCCTACCTCTGGAGCTGCCCGCACAGGGGCTGGAACTCGCACAACTGCAACCACGGAGAGGACGCCGGCGTCATCTGCTCAGGTGCGTCGCTACCATCCCTGGTGGCCCTTCTGGGCTGATGCCGCTGAGAATACACCCACTCCCCACGCCAGGCCCCCCTGAGCCTCGTACTGTCCCTCAGGCACTGGAGTGACTCAGGGCCACAGGCTCTCAAGTGCTAGGTCACCTGCTCAGACTACAGGTCAGATTGGTGGGTCCATGTGCCCAGCATCCTGAAGGCAGTGCCAGAAACAGGCTGAAAGGGGCCTGAGCTCCGTGTTCATGCACAAGAGGCAGCGTCCTGAGCACAGAGAGGAGGCTGGCCTTGTGCCCCCGGGGCCAGCTCACTCCCACCTGCAGGGTGTTGGGGCTTCCACCAGGGCAGCTGGTCCCTGGGTGTGGGGGTTGGTGAGCTCCTCTCCTCTGTGAGGATGGTGTCACCTGGGGGCTCCAAGATGGTGACCCAGAGGGGACACCCTGAGAGCACAGAGGTCCTTTGTGAAGGACAGAGAGAGTGGGAGGGAGCAGGGGGAGGAGGGAGATGGCAGGTGGCCAATGAATGGAAGGAGCCAATGGGGGCCTTGGGGATGGGGTATTATGACCACATGGAAAGTCTAGAAATGTGTGTAAACTCCCTTTAGCAGAATGGGTCTAGGCTGTGAAATCAGTGTGCACATTGATTGACCCCTTTTGTTGGGGTCATTCCCGTTCATTCTGTGGGGTCAACACCAGGGCCCCGGTGGCCTGTCCCAGGCATGACACTGGCTTCCATACACTGGACAGGAGTCCTCAGGCTCAGGGAGGCAGGCCATGGCAGGGGACAGAGGGAGTGGCTTTGGAAGGTTGTAAGGTACGGGGCAGAACTGCTGTGTCCCCCCCCCGAGGCCATGTGCATGGCATCAGCTCCGTGTGCAGAAGCTGAGGGTCATCAACCCGGGATCTGGGCCGGGCACCTGGGAGCTTGCTGTCTGACTGTCCTTTTTTTCCCACAGCTGCTCAGACCACCACATCCTGGCCAGGTGAGTCTGGCCACCTGTCCTGGGATGTCCCTCTCTCCTGCCCCCTCTGCCTGTCAGCACTCTCCAGCTGACCCATGGCTTTTTGAACCTAATCTGGACCACATTTTCCCCCTCTGTCTCTTTAACTATAAGGGGAAGGGGGATTCCAAAGACCCCACATGTACTTCCTCCTTCTGATTCTCATCAGATACTTGGCGGCCATCCCAGGGGAGAGGGGCCAATGGTCAAGTAGTGCCTCCCCTTCCATGAAGGTGGCCCCGTGGCTCGAGGCTGAGGAGGGCTTTGTGGGATAGTGGACACTGATGCCCACTGGCTTTCGGATGTCGGGACAGCAGTTTTCTCGCTTCTCTCCTCCTCTCACACCTGTCGCACCCTGAGGGCCAGCATGGTCACTGCATCCCAAGGGGGCAGAGACAGTGCCCGGGGATGGCAGTGAACATGTGATGAGGGTCCTCTGGGTACCAGGACCTGTGCTTGCCTCCAGGTTCAGTCACCAGGCCCTGACTCTTTCTATTAAAGCTGCAGAGTCAGGCCCACACCTCAAGCCACCAGTGAGTGCCTGGCTCAAGGAGGAGGGATGGGAAAGGTCTTCTGATGGGGAGGTACATGGCGGTCAGAGATGTGGAGGATGCGGCTGGTCTCTCCCAGGCCTTCGACCCCGATGACCCAACCGAGCGGGAGGCTTGTGGACAGTCAGGGAGCACGTGCAGGAGGCACATGCGAAAGTGACACTTACTGACCCAACCTTTAGCGAAGGACTCCTTTCCTGAGGCCTCATTAAGGCCTTTCTCTATATTGTCCCTTCCAGACGCATGGACACCTCCATCCACAACTGCTCCTCAAACAACAACAGGTACAGGACCTTTCACCCTCCCAGGGCCCCTCTCTGCTTCTGAATCACGCCTGGATGGAATGTGACAGCAAGAGCCTCCCCATGAGCCATCCTTATCTTTGTCCCTCTGGACAGGCAGAGGAGGGTCTCGACCAGGTCCTTGTTTGACATGGTTGGCTTTGACTTGTCTCCAGTGGGCTTCTGGGAGGAGGCTCAGCCAGGACCCTACCCTGTTGATCAGTGTCAGCCCTCTAGGCCTCCTGGGACCTGCTGAGACCCCAATGCTGACTCACCCTCAGGGGGTGTGAGTCTCTTTCTTCTCATGTCTAACAGAGGTCCCATCCCCTCCGAGGGCTTTGCCTCAAGTCAGGCAGGACCATGGAGAAGGAATAAGTGGCCAAGGAGGCCATGGACTTGGCCTGTCCCCGGAGCCATGGACCTCCACCCTGGGTGGTCCTGGTGTATACGGGGTGCTGTCCTGCTCACTTCATGGGCAATCCTGAGGCTCCTTACCTAGGAACACACTTAGACCTGGCAGGACAATGTCCCCGATCCTTTTCCCATGATGGAGATTAAACCCTGGGGTGTCCAAAGATGCCCGCCTGCCCTGGGTGTGGCCATGAGGGAGTCCCTGAGTTTAGAACCTGCCTCGGGCGTGGAGGTCAGCACAGCCATGGAGGAGGTGTCCTTGTGCCGTCCTCTAGGTTTCGGGACCGAATCGGCTCTGGTCCTGAGGCTGGTGAATGGCGGTGACCGGTGTCAGGGCCGCGTGGAGGTCTTCTACCGAGGCTCCTGGGGCACCGTGTGTGACGACGGGTGGGACACCAACGACGCCAACGTGGTGTGCAGGCAGCTGGGCTGTGGCTGGGCCAGGTCGGCCCCAGGAAGTGCCCGGTTCGGACAGGGCTCAGGCCCGATCGTGCTGGACAACGTGGGCTGCTCGGGGCACGAGTCCTACCTGTGGAGCTGCCCACACAATGGCTGGAACGTGCACAACTGCAACCACGGAGAGGACGCCGGCGTCATCTGCTCAGGTGCGTCGCTACCATCCCTGGTGGCCCTTCTGGGCTGATGCCGCTGAGAACACACCCACTCCCCACGCCAGTGCCCCCCTGAGCCTCGTACTGTCCCCCACGCACTGGAGTGACTCCGGGCAGCAGGCTCCTAGGTACTAGGTCTCCTGCTCAGACTTCATATCAACTTGGTGCGTCCATGTGCCCTGCATCCTGAAGGCAGTGACAGGAACTGGCTCAAATTGGCCTGAGCTCCGTGTTCATGCACAAGAGGCAGCTTCCTGAGCACGAGAAGAGCTTGTCCTTGTGCCCCCGGGGCCAGCTCACTGCCACCTGCAGTGTGTCTGGAGCTTCCACCAGGGCAGCTGGCCCCTGGGTGTGGGGGTTGGTGAGCTCCTACCCTCTGTGAGGATGGTGTCACCTGGGGGCTCCCAGATAGTGACGCTGAGGGGACAACCTGAGAGCACAGAGGTCCTTTGTGAAGGACAGAGAGAGTGGGAGGGAGCAGGGGGAGCTGGGAGATGGCAGGTGGCCAATGAATGGAAGGAGCCAATGGGGGCCTTGGGGATGGGGTATGAGGACCCCATGGAAAACTCTAGAAATGGGTAAAACTCCCTTTAGCAGAATGGGTCTAGGATGAGAAATCAGTGTGCACATTGATTGACCCCATTTGGGGGGGTCATTACCCGTTCACGCTCTGGGGTCAACACCAGGACCCTGATGGCCTGTCCCAGGCATGACACTGGCTTCCATACACTGGACAGGAGTCCTCAGGCTCAGGGAGGCTGCGATGGCAAAGGGGCAGAGGGCGTGGCTCTGGAAGGACTGCGAGGTTCGGGGCAGCACTGCTGTGTCCCCCCCGAGGCCATGTGCACTGCGTCAGCGTCGTGTGTAGAAGCTGAGGGTCATCAAACCGGGATCTGGGCCGGGCACCTGTCTGACTGTCCTTTTTTTCCCACAGCTGCTCAGACCACCACATCCTGGCCAGGTAAATCCCGCCACCTCTCCTGGGATGTCCCTCTCCCCTGCCCACCTCTGCTGGTGGGCCCTCTCAAACTGACCCATGGCTCTTTGAACCCCATCTGGAACACACTTTTGCCATTTGTCTCTTTAACTATGGGGGTGGGGGGATGCCAAAGACTCCGTCTGTCCATCCTCCTTCTGAGTTCTCATCAGATACTTGGCGGCCGTCCCAGGGGAGAGTGGCTGATGGTCAGAGAAGTGCCTCCCCTTCCATGAAGGTGGCCCCGTGGCTCCAGGCTGAGGAGGGTTTTGTGGGATAGTGGACACTGATGCCCATTGGCTTTCTGCTGACCGGACAGCAGGCTTCGGGTTCTCTCCTCCTCTCACACCTGCCGCACCCTGAGGGCCAGCATGGTCACAACCACAACCCAAGGTGGCAGAGACAGTGCCTGGGGGTGGCAGTGAACATGTTCTGAGGGTCCTGTGGGTACCAGAACCTGTGATTGCCTCCAGGTTCATTCACCAGGCCCTGACTCTTTCTATTAAAGCTTCAGAGTCAGGCCAACACCTCAAGCCACCAGTGAGTGCCTAGCTCATGCGGGAGAGATGGGAAAGGTCTTCTGATGGGAGGAACATGGCGGTCAGAAACGTGGAGGGATGCGGCTGGTCTCTCCCAGGCCTCGGAACCCGATGACCCAGCCGAGCGGGAGGCTGTGGACAGGCAGGAAGCACGTGCAGGGGGCACATGGGAAAGTGATGCTGACCGACCCATCCTTTTGGGAAGGACTCCTTTCCTGAGGCCTCACCAACGCCTTACTCTTTGTTGCCCCTTACAGACGCATGGACACCTCCATCCACAACTGCCTCTCCTCAAACAACAACAGGTACAGGACCCATCACCCTCCAGGGCCCCTCTCTTCTTCTGAATCACGCCTGGATGGAACGTGACAGCAAGAGGCTCCCCATGAGCCATCCTTATCTTTGTCCCTCTGGACAGGCAGAGGAGGGTCTCTGACCAGGTCCTTGTCTGACATGGTTGGCCTATGACTTGTCTCCAGTGGGCTTCTGGGAGGAGGCTCAGCCACGTCCGTCCCCTTTGCTCAGTATCTGCCTTGGAGGCCTCCTCTGACCTGCTGAGAACCCTGTGTTGACTCACCCTTTGGGGGTGTGAGTCTCTGTCCTCTCATGTCTGACGGAGGTCCCATCACCTCTGAGCTCCTTGACTTAAGTCAGGCATGACCACGGAGAAGAAATAGGTGGCCAAGGAGGCCATGGTCTTGACCTGTCCCTGGAGCCATGTACCTCCCCCCCTGGATTGACCTGGAGGATATGGGGGGGCAGTACTTCTCACCCCATGGAAAATCCTGGGACTCCCTACCTAGGAGCACACTGAGAACTGGCAGGACAGGATGTCCCCGATCCTATTCCGGTGATGGAGATGAACCCTTGGGTGTGTCCATAACTGACCACCTGCCCTTGGGAGTGGCCATGAGGGAGACCCTGAGTCTAGAACTTGCTTTGAGCCTGGAGCTTAGCACAGACATGGAGGAGGTGTCCTTGTGCTGTCGTCTAGGGTTCGGGACCGATTCGGCTCTGGCCCTGAGGCTGGTGAACGGCGGTGACCGGTGTCAGGGCCGCGTGGAGGTCCTCTACCGAGGCTCCTGGGGCACCGTGTGTGACGACGGGTGGGACACCAACGACGCCAACGTGGTGTGCAGGCAGCTGGGCTGTGGCTGGGCCAGGTCGGCCCCAGGAAGTGCCCGGTTCGGACAGGGCTCAGGCCCGATCGTGCTGGACGACGTGAGCTGCTCAGGGCACGAGTCCTACCTGTGGAGCTGCCCGCACAGGGGCTGGAACTCGCACAACTGCAACCACGGAGAGGACGCCGGCGTCATCTGCTCAGGTGCGTCGCTACCATTCCTGGTGGCCCTTCTGGGCTGATGCTTCTGAGACCACACCCACTCCCCACGCCTGGGCCCCCCTGAGCCTCGTGCTGTCTCCCAGGCACTGGTGTGGCTCAGAGCAGCCGGCACCCAGGTGCTAGGTCACCTGCTCAGACTACAGGTCAGCGTGTGAGTCCACGTGCCCTGCATCCTGAAGGCAGTGCCAGGAACTGGCTCAAAGGGGCCTGAGCTCCGTGTTCATGCACAAAAGGCAGCTTCCTGAGCACAGAGAGGAGCCTGGCCTTGTGCCCCCGGGGCCAGCTCACTCCCACCTGCAGGGTGTCTGGGGCTTCCACCAGGGCAGCTGGTCCCTGGGTGTGGGGGTTGGTGAGTTCCTCCCCTCTGTGAGGACGGTGTCACCTGGGGGCTCCAAGATAGTGACCCAGAGGGGACAACCTGAGAGCACAGAGGTCCTTTGTGAAGGACAGAGAGAGTGAAAGGGAGCAAGGGGAGGAGGGAGATGGCAGGTGGCCAATGAATGGAAGGAACCAATGGGGGCCTTGGGGATGGCGCATTATGACCGCATGGAAAAGTCTAGAAATTTTTGTAAGCTCTCAATATCAGAACGCTTCAAGGCTGAGATATCAGTGAGCACATTGATTGACCCCATTTGTTGGGGTCATTCCCTGTTCGTTCTGTGGGGTCAACACCAGGGCACTGGTGGCCTGTCCCAGGCATGACTCTGGCTTCCATACACTGGACAGGAAGTCCTCGGGTTCCAGGAGGTAGGCCATGTTCAAAAGGACAGAGGGTGTGGCTTTGGAAGAACTATGAGGTGCAGGGCAGCACTGCTGTGTCCCACCCGAGGGCATGAGCATGGAATCAGTTCCACGTGTGGAAGCTGAGGGTCATCAACCCGGGATCTGGGCCGGGCACCTGGGAGTTTGGTGTCTGACTGTCCCTTTCTTCCCACAGCTGCTCAGCCTTCTACAACCTGGCCAGGTGAGTCCCAGCCACGTGTCCTGTGATGTCCCTCTCTCCTGCCCCCTCTGCCCGTCAGCCCTCTCCAGCTGACCCATGGCTCTTTGAACCCCGTGAGGATCACACTTTTGCCCTCCGTCTCTTTATTTACTAGGGGGAGGGGGATGCCAAAGGCTCTGTCTGTCCATCCACCTTGTGAGTTCTCATCAGATACTTGGCGGCCATCCCGGGGGAGAGCGGCCGATGGTCAGAGAAGTGCCTCCCCTTCCATGAAGGTGGCCCCGTGACTCCAGGCTGAGGAGGGCTTTGTGGAATAGTGGACACTGATTCCCACTGGCTTTCTGATGACGGGACAGCAGTTTTCTGGCTTCTCTCCTCCTCTCACACCTGCCGCACCCTGAGGGCCAGCATGGTCACTGTATCCCAAGGGGCAGAGACAGTGCCCAGGGATGGCAGTGAACATGTGCTGAGGGTCCTCTGAGTACCAGTACCTCTGCCTGCCTCCAGGTTCAGTCACCAGGCCCTGACTCTTTCTATCCAACCTTCAGAGTCAGGCCAACACCTCAAGCCACCAGTGAGTGCCTGGCTCATGGGGGAGAGATGGGAAAGGTCTTCTGATGGGGGGGCACATGGCCGTTAGAGACGTGGAGGGATGCAGCTGGTCTCTCCCAGGCCTTCGACCCCGATGACCCAGCGGAGCCGGAGGCTTGTGAACAGGCAGGGAGCACGTGCAGGAGGCACAGGGGAAAGTCACGCTGACCGACCCACCCTTTTGGGAAGGACTCCTTTCCTGAGGCCTCACCACGGCCTTTCTCTATATTGTCCCTTCCAGACACATGGACAACTCCTTCCACAACTCCATCCACACCGGTCTCTCTTCAAACAACAGCAGGTACTGGACCCTTCCCCCTCCCAGGGCCCCTCTCTCAATCTTAATCACACCTGGAATGGACGTGCCAGGAAGAGGCTCCACATGGGCCATCCTCATCCTTGTCCCTTAGTGGGGTGGGGCCAGAGCAGGGTCTCTGACCAGGTCCTTGTCTGACATGGTTGTTTGGTGACTTGCCTCTTAGAGGGCTTGTTTGGTGGCTCAACCAGGAACTTCCCCTGTTGTTCAGGGTCAGCCCTGGAGGCCTCCTGGGACCTGCTGAGAGCCCTGTGCAGGCTCAGCCTCAGGGGGTTGAGTCTCTATCCTCTCATGTCTGACAGAGGTCCCATCCCCTCTGAGAGCTTTTCCTCAAGTCAGGCAGGACCACGGAGAAGAAATATGTGGCCCAAGAGGCCATGGCCTTGGCCTGTCCCCAGAGCCTTGAATCTGCACCCTGGGTGGCCCTGGTGGATGCTGGGTGCAGTCCAGCTAACCGCATGGCAATCCTGGGGCTCCCTACCTAGGACACCCTTAGACCTGGCTAGACAGGATGTCCCGATCCTTTCCCTGTGATGGAGATGAACCCCTGGGGTGTCCAAAGCTGACCGCCTGCCCTTGGGTGTGGACTGAGGAAGGCCCTGAGTCTAGAACCTACCTCGGGCCTGGAGCTCAGCACAGACATGGAGGAGGTGTCCTTCTGCCGTCCTCTAGGGTTCCAGAATGACTCAGGTTTGGCCCTGAGGCTGGTGAACGGCAGTGACTCATGTCAGGGCCGCGTGGAGGTCCTCTACCGAGGCTCCTGGGGCACCGTGTGTGACGACGGGTGGGACACCAACGACGCCAACGTGGTGTGCAGGCAGCTGGGCTGTGGCCAGGCCAGGGCGGCCCCAGGAAATGCCCGGTTCGGACAGGGCTCAGGCCCGATCGTGCTGGACGACGTGAGCTGCTCAGGGCACGAGTCCTACCTGTGGAGCTGCCCGCACAGGGGCTGGAACTCGCACAACTGTGGGCACCACGAGGACGCCGGCGTCATCTGCTCAGGTGCGTCCGGTCTCCGGGCCTCCCTGTTAGTGCGGCACCCTGGTTTCAGGGCTCCTCTCACCTCAGCCCAGCAGGAGACGGGCAGTTTCAGCTTCAAGCTCACATCGCCAGCAGCTGCTGGGTTCCTGGAAGTTTGGGGGTTCCTGTCGCATGGCCCCAGCCTGGCCCTCAGATAAACCCCAACACCTTTTTTGGAGAAGAGCCCCTATACTTACTAGGCAGCTCCCGAGGGCTGCTCCCAGGAGCAATTCTGAGGCCACGGGGTCGGGGGGGGGTGGCGGGGGGGACACAGGAGCCCCTCTGTCCGCATCCTGAGGGTCTCCTTCCCACACACCCTGGGCCCAGGACTGACCCCGATGCTTTTCTTTCTCGCAGCTCCGCCCATCGTCGTGACCACCCCAGGTGAGTCCCACGGCCCAGGCTTCTGGTGGAGCCCCTGCTCTGTGTTTGCAGGAAGAGAAGGGCGGGCTCCTGGGTAGCTTTTCTCTCTGATGAATCTGGTTTCCATGGTGATGTGCTGAGGGCGCAGGACACTGCTGTCCTTGGGCTCCGCCTGGGAGCCCCTCTGAGCCCTGCCCCTGCCGCCTCCGGGGCTCACGGAGAGGCTGTGGTGGGAGAGGATGGTCCTGGCATTTCAGGTGCAAATAACCATCCAGGTCAACCCGTGGCAAAAGGTGACCATTGTAGAAACATGGCCGAGTAGAACCCCTACAGATGCTCGTCTGGTAACAGCTTCCTTTACCCAAGAGCACAAGCCCCGACTGTTCTCTGTGTCCTGATGGAAACACTCGGTGCCAATTATGGTTGTAGTGCTCCCAGGGACTCCCTGGCCATGGACTGTGACCTGGATGGTCAAGGCTCTGACAAGTCCTGCAAGAAGGACAAGACTTGACTCTCTTATGTCACACTCTGGGCCACGGACTTTCAACCTCTCCAAGAACATTCTCAGTCTCTTCATCTTCTTCCCAGGCTGGTGGCACCCATCACCTACCGCCCCTCGCTCTTCCGCCTCACGCACAGGGCGTGGGCTTCTCGGCCCCGATGCGCCTGTGCATGGCAGAGGTGCCCGCAAGTGCGCCGCCGCTCTCCACCTGCACACACACCCTCCCCAGCCCCCGTGCACCCTCACCCGCCTGCGTGCACACAGCCAGCATCCTGCTCACACACACTCACTCCCCACATTGCCCCCGCCAGCTGGATAGCTTCTGGTGTGTGTGTGTGTGTGTGTGTGTGTGTGTATGTGCGTTTGTATTTAAATTCTTTATTGTTGAAAGTATTACATGTGTCTCCTTTCCCCCCATTGACCTCTCCCTGGCCGCTCCCACCTCCTTCAGGCTGGGAGCTCCGGAGGGCGCGGCCTGTGTCCAGCGTCTCACTGTGGCCCCGGGTGGCACAGGGCTGGCACAGAGCGAGCATGCGCTCAGAGGCTGAGCCAAGGATGGCAGGAAACTGACCATGATCTCTCCTCTCTGTCCCCAGAGCCTCCCTTCACCAGCACCAGGCCAGCTGGTAAGCCCTGCGCTCCCTGCCCTCGGTGACCATCAGTGACGCTGGGAGAGATGGCGGGAATGGCGAGGCGGTGGCTTCCCTGCGTGTCCCTCAGCCTCAGGGACAGGCCACGCTGGGGCCACAGCCTGTAGGGTGTCTGCCTTGGGAATTGTTCACAAATCCCCCTCTCATTCCCAGCCAGCGTTGTTCAGTGATTAGTGTCGACCTATGAACCAGGAGGTCAGGGTTCAGTTCCTCAGTTCCCGGTCAGGGCACAGGCCCAGGTTGTGGGCTCCATCCCCAGTGTGGGGCGTGCAGGAGGCAGCCGGTCCATGATTCTCTCTCATCATGGATGTTTCTATCTCTCACTCCCTCTTCCTTTTTCTCAAAATTAATACAAATGGATTTAAAAATAATAAGTAAAACTCCCCCCGCCCGGGTGGTGCGCCCTGTGCTCTGGGTGACCAGCATCTCCTCTGTCCCGGCAGCCGCGGGGGCCTGTGGGGGCTTCCTGTCCCGGCCCTCGGGGCGCTTCTCCAGCCCGTCCTACCCCGGGAGCTACCCCAACAACGCCCGCTGCGTGTGGGACATCGAGGTCCAGAACAACCACCGCGTGACCGTCGTCTTCAGAGACGTGCAGTGAGTGGGGTGCGGGCGGCCGCGGGGCCTCGGGGGGACCTCGGGGACGTGGGGAAGGGGAGAAGGAGGGACCGGAGCCGGCGCCCTGGGAGAGAGGCTGCCCGTTGGCATTCTGCCCGTGGGCGCGGTTTTCGACCCAGCACAGGGGCAGCCGGCAGTGGGGCCAGCACAGGGCCTTGGCTTCCGGTCTGTGTGGTCCCTACTGCCCGTGTGGCCACAGGACGTCACTCGCCTTTCCCGAGCCTCAGTCAAAAGGGAGGGATGAGCCAGCCGGCATGGCTCAGGGATGGAGTGTCCACCTCTGACCCAGGAGGTCAGGGCTGGAGTCCCAGTCAGGGCACGTGCCCGGTTGTGGGCTCCATCCCCAGTAGGGGGCGTGCCGGAGGCAGCCGATCCATGATGCTCATCATTGATGTGTCTATCTCTCCCCCTTTCTCTCCTCTCTGAAATCAATAAAAATATA